TTGCAGACTGTTAGAGCAATTTTATAAAAAGTAAGCTTGAACTTTCGATTATGTCAAAAAGAGTTTCCGATTCTGGAGCTGCCAAAGGATCTACAAAGCGAAAGCATGTTTTGATGTCCATCAAACAAAAAGTGGAATTGCTGCAAAAAAATGGATAAAGGCATGAAGAAAGTGACAGAGCGGTTAGTGAAAACGAAAAAATTTCGATTGAAAAGTTAGTCGGCATTTTCACCACAGCAATTACAGGACTTGGACAACGGAGCTTTGTAACTGAACAAGAAATTATGTTTGTTTATAGAATTAAAGAGAAAGTATTAGCACATAAAACGAAGCAACTTAAACAACTTACACTGAAAGAAATGTTTAATAAAGTAAACAAATAAATATTAAGCTTTTTTTTTTTTGTAAATTTTAATACCTTTTAGATCATAATTGCTCTTTATTTCATAAATTACGGTTTCATATTTTTAATTGTATAATTTCTGCATGCCATCTTACCAGATTTAAATTGATGATCTATAATCCGAAAAAACCCCCTAATCCGGAATCGCCAAAGTCCCGACGAGTCCGGATTAAAGACTTTGTACTGTATCTGGTTGTAACAAAAGTTTTCTGCCAAAAAACGTTCTTAATAAAATTAGGGGGGACAAAACATTCTTATAAAAGTTAGGGGGGACATGAAAGCAGTATCTTTAGTCTTTAGTGCGAGTAGTAATCACCCCACAAATCTATGATTTTCTGCCAACATTTTGGCAGTTTTCCAAAGCCTTCAGCTCAGAAACTTGGTGGCTGTGAGTCTGAAAACAGATCAACCTCATTCTGGATGTTCAGTGCAAAATGGAAGATAGCATCAGCAAGATGTAGCTGCAGGTGTGAAAAAAGGTAGAAGGAGAGATGGTGGGGCTGTATGGTGGGTGTAGCAAAAGATCCCATTCACATCCATACAGAGTTCAGCCAGTGAATGCAGACACATGTGGTCTTGCATTATCTTGATGGAACATTTTCTTTTTGCGCTGGAACTCAGTTCGATACTTTTTCCTTGATAGCAGTGTCGACATGGACTAGCATCTTGTTGTACACCTTACTGCCGGGGGTTTTACATTTTACCAGATACTCTTTGTGGATAAATCCTCAGCAATCCCACCAGATACAAAGCATGATCTTGTTACTAATTCAGAAGGTTTTACCCAGCTGAGGATGGTGGTTCCGTAAAACCATCGAAACTAGTCCTGTGAAAATTTTGTAAATATAACGCTGATTTTTTGTTGTTTGACTTCTGAATTAGTATTTATTCGGCGTGTTATTGTGTCTTAATTATGATCTTGTTAGTCAAAACGTGCTTTACGAAGCTGTCGACAGGCTCACCAGCAGCAGACGAACCCCCTTTTTGGCCTGCGTTGTTGAAGTAAATCCACTTTTCATCATGAGTGACGGTCCAGTCCAGAATTTTGTCTTTGTGTTGATATTCGAGCAGATATGTGCAAGTCCAAATACATCTGTCCTTATCTGCTTGAGTCAGCTCATGCGGCACCCAGTGATTGAACTTGTGCATCAAGTTTATGCAATGCATAGCATGACTAATGGACATGGCAATAACATCTAACTCCTTAGCAAGCTCTTAAGTTGTTGCATACTGATCTTCTACAAGTTCTCACAATTGAGCCTCATCAAAATCAGTAGGTGGGCTAGAAGTGCTCAGCATCTTGAATGTCATAGTCCTCGTTTTTTAAATTTTGGTACCAATCCTTTACAGTGTCATATATGACATTAGTACCTAAAGCTATACACATGATTTGGTGACATTCTGTAACTGACTTTTTGTAACAGAACTGGAGTAAATGATGGTTCTAATCTGGTAGTATGATAGTTCCATTTCAGACACCTTGTACTTAATGATAATGATATTTTTTTACAAATTTCACAACACAATGTTCTAAAGCAAGTCTCTTTCAAATGCCAAAAATCCTTTGACAAAATATGACTAAACATGCCAATGTAAATTGTTTGCACATGTGATATTTATGGTGGTGGGGATAATTTCGTTAAAACCTGATATAGGAGACTGGCTTGTTATACATAAAGAAAATTTATTGTATGACATATTCTTCCCCGTGAGCTTGCATATTAATACAGTCAAAAGTCGTTAATTCGGACACCCATAATCCGGACCTCAAAGCTAAAAACTTTCTGCGCATGCACCGCGTTGACACATGCGCATAGGCGTTTACGCGTGCGTGCAAGACCTCTTACGACTGCGCATTTGCGTGTGCGCAAGTGCAGAATACGTTTTTGCGTGCACGTTTTATATATAATGAACGGTATAAGCTAAAATTATCTAATTATCTATTTCAGTTAATGTTGATGATTGCGTTGTTCCTTAATTTTCGAATTGGATCCGGCTTATAATTTTTTGCAGACTGTAAGAGCAATACTATAAAAGTAAACTTGAACTTTCGATTATGTCAAACAGAATTTCCGAATCTGGAGCTCCCAAAGGATCGTACAAAACGAAAGTATGTTTCGATGTCTATCAAACAAAAAGTGGAATTGCTGCAAAAAATGGATAAAGACATGAAGAATGTGACAGAGAGGTTAGTGAAAACGAAAAAATTTCGATTGACAAGTTAGTCGGTATTCTCGGCACAGCAATTAACGGGACTTGAACAGCGGAATTTTGTAACTGAACAAAAAATTATGTCTGTTTATAGAATTAAAAAGAAAGTATTATCACATAAAACGAAGCAACTTAAACAACTTACATTGAAAAAAATGTTTAATAAAGTAAACAAATAAATATTAAGCTTTTTTTTTGTAAATTTTGATATCCTTTAGATCATAATTGTTCTTTATTTCATAAATTACGGTTTCATATTTTTAATTTTAGAATTTCTGCATGCCATCTTACGCGATTTAAACTGATGATCTACAATCCGGAAAAATCGATAATCCGGAATCGGCGAAGTCCCGACGAGTCCGGATTAACGACTTTTGACTGTAGTTCAAAAGAATTGCTCATCCCATTATACATGATATTAGTAGTTATAATATCCAGCTGGAAACTGGAAGATGATTTTAATTCTGGTATAAGCCCACTGATTTTTTACATTACTGATATGACAAAAAATATAATTTAACAGTAGCAAATGAACTAAAAAGTGAGTAAGATTTTGTCAAACAAAGCTAATGGCTTTCCACAGTCCTTTAAATAAGTAAAATATAAAGAACTATCTAATTCCTATATGCATGCTCTCATGGCATAAATGGTTAGCATATTCAACAGGCAATTGGAAGATATGTAGTTTGAGTCTTGCTAAGGAACTGGTTGAATTTTTCTGTTTTATGTTTGAATTATTTACTAACAGATAAATATTGTTAGGGAATGTCCAGCCGCTGTAAGATAGCTCCCTGCAAGGCAGGTTTACGGTTGCCAGATTTGGCATGAAATCGCCCATTTGGCAATATGCCACAGATGAATGGAGAACTAGAATGAATTCTTACTGGTTTGGCCCAGAATGTTCTTGAAGGCAGGCTGAAAGTTATTTAACCCTGCCTGTATGCGGAGTAGCAGTCTAGTGTCAAGTGAATCGGTGTCTCGGCAATGGATCAAGTGTGTGCGTGTCCAGTGCATCGTCTAGTCTATTGACTTGATTATCAGTCTAGTGTATCGCGAGTTGGTGCATTGAGCGTGTCCATTGCTGACGCTATTGTATTGTCAAATGCATCACAAGCTGTAGTGTGTCGAGTTCCGAGAACGACCGAACCAAGTCGAGAGCTGTATTCTAGTGCTTTGCTGTGAAGCTGTCTTTACCATTTTAGCCTGATAGACTGCGTTGCTGATTGTTTCAGCATGCTTGTCGTAGTTTTTCGACAACTGTAAACATGTTTTTGGAGCTGTCCTGAGTAATACTAGCTAATAAATTGTGTTTAGATTCTTCAGAAAGTGTTGTTGTCAATCACTCCAAATCCATGATCATGTAAGAGTGCAACAATACCTTAAAACAAGGTTTCTTAAACTTCTTTCAGTTGCGACCCTTTTTATCACTGAGATTTTTTCGCGACCCACAGGACCCCATAATATTTACAAAAATTTTGTGGGACCCCATAAGTATCGTGTAAATCTGACACACGCGTGAGTCAGTTTTTCACTTGTACTGTAATATACTATGGCAGTTTTAGGTCATTACGTTTAATTTCTAATTTTAAGACATAGAGTAATGTGAAAATTTTAAATAAGTAACAGACGAAATGACAGTATCACTTGCAAAGAAAGGAAAATGAACGTTTATGTTATAAAAAAGAATGTGTCGAAATGTTTTAGTTTTTTCTTTGTCTGTAATGTCTTATCTTATCTTTATCTATTTTCAGATACATTGTGTAAAAATATTTGGTAATTGTGAAATTATTATAATAAGAAATATCAAAACTGCAAAAATTTTTGGTGACCCCCTTGGGAGTCGCGACCCAAAGTTTAAGAAATCCTGTCTTAAAATAACATTTTTATGAATATTCATTTATATAACAACTTAAATTTTTAAATAATCTTTATGAAATTATCAGTAGGAGAAAAACAAAGTCACATTTTTTCAAAGCGAAAATATTAGCTAACCAATAACTAATTATAAAATTCTACCTAATTTCTCTCAGGCTATGCAAATGAATAGAGACATCAACCTATAAATATTCACATATAATTTGCGCATGGTGACTGTCAAATAATATTACAAAGTATAGGATAATCAGCATTTTAGTAAAAGAGGATAAATGTGCATAAAAAATGCAAATACAAATTGAATATTTTGAATAAATTACTATCATCTATGAAGTAAAAATAATACAGGGAGCACAATTTATACATAAACTAGCACTCAAAGGGAAAAACTATGTACAATAGAGGATATTCTGTAAATATTTTTAAAATCTAGCATTAAAATGGCAGTGGGGAATATATTTGAGGAAATATGGTACTGCTTAATTATGAAGATAACAGAGACAAACTCTACCTGCATTGGTAAATCGCTGTTCATATGGTATGATAATTTTGACTCTATATACTTTGAAATGGCACCAACAATTACAAGCCTTCCTTTTATTGCTAGGTGTTTGGAAAGTATGTTAAAAGTTTCTCCTCCGATGGTTTCCCAAATAACATCAATGCCACTCTAAATAAAAGAGATCAGAAATAGTAACTACATTTCAAAACAATAATTCAGGTTTTGTGGCTTATGAGAATACAATAGAGCCTCAATTATTTAATTTTAAATCATAGCAATTTTTCTTTCACAATTTTTTTTTTTAAATTGTTTATTTAGAATTCCAAAAATACATAAACTAATTACTACTATTAACATTTCAACAAATTTATTTCTTGATAAATAAAATTTGTTTCCTTCAGGGAAATAAATAACCCATACAAAATTTTACTTAATAATAAAAATATTTGTAAAAATTAAGAATAGCTCCATCAAAATTTTCTCAAACTGAAAATTTTATCAATTTCTTATATGCATTTTTAGACATTAATATTTTTCCTTGGAAAAAATAAACTGTTACTTCTTTTTGCTACAGTTCTATAATAATATCAGTGGCTGCAGGATCGCACCACTTTTTAATCAACAAAATATCAGCAGGACCATAGAAATAGGGCTGGCTCTAAGCAGAATTGACGCAGGACACCAATTTATGGAAGGTGTCAGGTAAGTTTTTTTTCACAAGCGACAATTAAATAAATATATGTTTTGAAGACAGTGAATCTAAAGATCAATCAGAAGCTTACACTAGGAAACATCTAAATATCTGCAAGACAAAAAATAGTGGTGGATAAGATATTTGGATTCTATGAATAAGACCCCAGGTTGATATCACTGGGGCCACATAGCGCGGCATTTCCCATTTACACTAACATAAAGCACAAGTGAGAACTGCAATATCAGAGAACTGCAAAAAGTGAGCATTGAGAGCCATCACAAATTATTTACACGTGTTATTTATATGGAATGTCAACTGTACTGACAACTTAGGGCAGCAAAAATGCTCGAGAAAAGGCTGCGTAGAATCATTAGGATGTTGCTCTAAATATTAAGAAACTTTCCTTAAGGCTCGCATGGCTAATTTTCCTACTTCAAGATTGTCAACATCACTGCCATTCTTATTGTACTTCCAATTTACAGCACGAATGATTTCATCATCACTTGAAACTTGAAAAATTGGATTACTGTTTAATATATTTATTTATGCTATAGCATTATCTTGAGAGGTGTCTTCACATTTATTGAAAAATACCCATAAATTTATTGTCAATCAGTATTCATTAGTGTTGCTTTTGCACACAATGGTTGAATTTATCTGATTATAGCAAAGTATGGGAGAGTTATCTGTCTAAGGGAACGGATGCCTTTGTGAAGGACCTTCTGAGGGAAATTGGCCCACATCTACATTACAAATGGGGAAAACAAGAAAATATCCATGCAGACAGCTTGTTCACTGGAATTTGAACCTAGGTTGAATTACAGTTATCAGCTGTTGATGGGTTCTTCAACACAAATAAATCATATCTGTTATCAAAATAACCAATACAAAGACCATTAAATGATCCAACATTAATAAGAAAGGCAAAAAACTATCAATCACTAATAAGAAAATTCACAAATGTTATTGATTTTTGTTGTATCCTCTTTAATGTTACTATAGTTTCCTGGTGATTTCCTTTTATTAATTGCTAGTTGAATTAATTCAGGTTTTGGTTGATAAAAGGCCAGTTAACAGACGTTCTACATTTGTTTAATTTTCAATTTCTTAGTTTTCTTTTGTATTAACTAACCCTAAACTGCATTATGCTGCCAAATGGCTTCACAAGCTATTTATCTTCTTAATCACTAGCAAAATGTAACCATAAGGCAACACTGTGTATCAAGGGCAAGTTTTGGATATCTTTAATTCGATTGAGATACGTGCGAGTAACGCGTGCCTACAAAAGTATAGATAACCTTATCTAGAAAATAGCAATCAGGCATTTAACATTAAGAATTAGATTTAATAAGGAGAAGTAATATGGGAGATTTAATAATACATAATATTGGCTTAAGGAAGCGTATAGTCCCCACACAGATCGGCGTTACATATTACGTGGAAGGCACAAGACGAGTTGTTTCAGACACGCACACACAGACTGAAGTCGTTAACCAGAACTGCCGGGGGAAATTCTTATTTTCTCGTCAGCCCGTAGGGTTGTCAAGCAGGTTTACTGTTTTGCAAATTGGCGCTTTTCTCCAGAGTTTTTGAGTCTGTATCGCCTGTTTGGCGCTGCCGCTACATACTCCCTCCGCAGTGTCAAAGAAATGTGACATACTGACGTGGGGGTCGGATTAATCGTCCAGAATGGGTGATACCAATGTCCGAAGGTTTTTTTACACTCTTTGGAACAACTTGTGAAGAGTCCATGGTTACAAAAGCGGGTTTCAATCTATCTATGGAGATTGTTAGCCTAATCCATTTTATTTTGAGATCAAACGTTTTATCTCGTGTTTCTAAAACTTTAAATGGTCCATCATAAATTGCCAACAGATGGTAGTAGTTACCTGTAATGTAGCAATAAATGAAATCATGGGATAGACTTTTCAAATCACTTGAATGACCAAATTTCGGAATTCCCATTTACAATTAAATGTTTTCCCATGAACACTAAAAAAATCATATGCATAAAATAAACATTTATCTTCTATTTAACAGGCTTTTTAAGTTAAAGCTATATATTTAAAAAAAAAAAAAAAAAAAAAAAAAAAAAAAAAAAAAATAGGCCATTATATATATCTGTAGCCATCTGGCAACATTATATAGGAAGGACGCAGTGAACAATTCAACTCAACACTGTAGTTCAGAAAGCATGTGCTCTGTTTATATTTCTTACTCTAGATTTTTCTTTTCTTTGTTCATGTAGTTTTAATTATGAGTCCTTGTGATAGGATTGCAAGTAATTTATATCTTTTTTAAAATTTTATAAGCTATATAAATAGAAGCAAATAGGTCTGTTTACTTTGTTGACACAGATGGTAAAAAGAAATTATTGACAGATGAAATATGGAATGCTCTTTCAAGTGGAAGTGTTGAAGATTTTGATATTAGTGATGAAAATCCTACATTTAATCCTAATGCTCTCTTTAATAGAATTCAAGAGGATTCTTCTGAATGTGAAGATGATCAAGAATCTTCTAAGAATGAAGAGAATATTCAGTATGAAAGTTCTTCAAGCAACAAGACATAGAGAAAAAAAGGAAAAATAAAATAAAAATCTGAAAGGTTTCATATTTTTCCAAAAGGGCTTTTTTTAACATTTCATGTGTTACCTTCATTAATTAAATATCATGTTCTTTGCACTTAAACCATAAAATTTAGTTCAGTAGCAATGTCGCAAAATAATTTTAAAATGAGCTTATCTTTAGAATTTACAATCCACAGTTCCGCGCCCACTGGAGATAAAGAGGTTTTTTCCCCACCATAGAGTGTTGCCATTGCTCGCTTTTAAATCATTGAGTTTGTTACTAAAAAATTCGTTAAAATTTTACAAATATGAAATCGATAATAAAATAAATTCCAAATTTCAAATTTGGTCTTCACATGCCCATATTCGTAGGAGGATTAACGTCATTGAAAATTCGATGGCTCTATGTACCGTTTTTTATCACAATGCGAGAAATAGATATATAGTCAAAAGTCGTTAATCTGGACTCATCGGGACTTCGGCGATTACAGATTATCGATTTTTCCGGATTATAGATCATCAGTTTAAATCTGGTAAGATGGCATGCAGAAATTATAAAATTAAAAATATGAAACCGTAATTTATGAAATAAAGAACAATTATGATCTAAAGGGTATCAAAATTTACAAAAAAAAAAAAAAAAAAAAGCTTAATATTTATTTGTTTACTTTATTAAACATTTCTTTCAATGTAAGTTGTTTAAGTTGCTTTGTTTTATGTGATAATACTTTCTCTTTAATTCTATAAACAGACGTAATTTCTTCTTCAGTTACAAAGTTCCGCTGTTCAAGTCCTATAATTGCTGTGTCGAGAATACGACTAATTCGTCAACCGAAACTTTTTCGTTTTCAATAACTTTCGTGTCACTTTCGTCACTATCAGAAGCGAATTATAATGACGAGGAATTTGATTTAAATCATATCAAAGACGGAATACATCGAGATGAAATACTATATTTAGTAAGGAATTATAAGCCAAATAAAATAAAAACATCTACCCTGAAGATAAGGATAGTGCTGACAGATCAACTTCCAATTCATTGCGCGCAGCGGCGACCCCCCCCGCAGAGCAGCGTGAAATTGATAAACAGATTTCGGAATGGTTAGAGAAACGAAGGATATGCCTTTATCCATTTTTTGCAGCAATTCCACTTTTCGTTTAATGGACTTCGAAACATACTTTCGCTTTGTAGATCCTTTACATATTAGTAAATATATATGGGAAATTCTATTTGACATAATCGAAAGTTCAAGCTTACTTTTATAAAATTGCTCTAACAGTCTGCAAAAAACAATAAGCCGGATCCAATTTGAAGATTAAGGAACAACGCAGCCTACGACATTAAATGAATTAGATAATTTTAGCTTAGCTATACCGTCAATTACACATTAAACGCGCATGCATAAACGTATTATGCACATGCGCACACGCAGAAAGTTTGTAGCTTAGAGTTTCGGATTATGGGTGTCCGAATTAACAACTTTTGACTGTACATTTATGCAGATTTTTCATTATTTAATTTCTTCAAATATAATGCAAGACTCTAATATTGGTGGCAACAGTTTGAAAAGTGAAACAGACATTTATAGTGATTCAACGCAAAATGAAAACAAAATTGTCCTTCAAGGACAAAGCCACTTTGGACTAACAAAGAAAAAAAATTAAACTTGAATGGAAGATAAAAATGTCTTTGCAAATGAATCCTGAATTATTAACTTTCAATGGAGATACACAGTTACCATAAAATATTTAGAATTTGGAAACACCTTATGAGTTTTTTTCATATATTTTCCCTCCGGAACTGATAACTTTTTGTTACCGAACAAACTATTCTATATTGTGTACAACAGATGCCTGAAAGTAAAGTAAGTATTAGTAAAGTAGAAGTTTTAGTAGTTTATGTGTTGTTGAAATTAAGAATTTAAAAAAAAAAAAAAAAAAAAAAAAAAAAAAAAAAGAAGATAAGCATTAAAAGAATTATTTCCTTACATTTTATAATAATTCAATTACAAGTTTTAAATAATATTAAAAATCACTTTTTTTAATCCCTTTCAGAAATGCTCATAGAAAGTTAAATAAATGGAAATCAGCAGCAATATTTAATGTATTTCATTATTAAAATAAAAGGTGCTCTAATTTGAAATGAACTGAGCACAACATTAATTAAAGTGACTTTGATTTTTGATTTAAAAGATGCCTCAGAAGCTTTTTCAGAAAGGAGCTCAGTAAAAAGAAAATAAATAATGCATAATTTTAATATTAATAATACAATATACTTTGATTTTAATTTTTGTAATTGTTAACCAAATTAAGTTGAAATATCTTAAAATTTCTTTCTAATATAATTAAAGAAAACTTGTGAAAATATTTCATTTAAATTAAAATTGTTCTGGAAAAAGTATAGCATTTAATGCTGTTCAGAATGAAATGTTTAAAAATATATTCTTTCACAAACTTAAGACTTTAAAATATTGTAGAAAATGAATATATATATTTATATGTACAGTTATAATGTAATTATAAAATGTTTACCTCTTATCATGTCAAAACCTATTAATCTAAATGGCAAGTCACTGAATATTTTGGTTTACAAGTGGGGTGCATCATTGCTTCAAGGTAATGTAAGGGAAAAACCAGTTTGGGTCTCTTCTCTTATTTCCTACCTCATAGTCGATTTTTATTTTAAAACTTTTGAATAAAAGAAAACTAGTACACAAAAATATACTACAATATACATAAACTATTGGTATAGCTGGTTGTACTTTCTTATGCGAGTCTGGTTTATATTAATGTCCTCTCCTTCCTTCCAAGTTTGTAAGTCGAGTTTTGAGATATCCATGTAAAATCTTTGAAGAAATATACTGCAAGTATCTCAAAATTCCACATACAAATTTTATGTACAGAGTATTAGATAAAAGTAGGAAACTTATAATTCATTTTCCTCTCTTTCTTTTGAAGCCTAAATACACAAAAAGATTTTTCATGACTATTAACAAAAAAATTTTACATATTGTTAAAATTCAGGTACATTTCACATACTGCTTAAAAATAAATTCATATTACCGGATATTCCTTAGTCAGAACATCATTTAAACATTCTTGGGTGTAATTGATAGGTCGATCACAACCAATATCCTGCAAATTAAATGCAACATCTCTTAGTTAAAAAACTAAATAAACAGTACATAACAAAATAACAGATCACAAGAACAAATAACACATATATATGTGCATATATACATCCACAGTAAACACTCCCATAGTTCCAAATAATTTTGATCATCTGTAATCTTTTATATCTTTTCAACTATGACCTGAAATCTTCCAAACTCTAAAATTCAGATTCTCAGTCATATGAAATTTTGGTTTTTTGATGCAGCATTTCTTAATCTGTGGTCTGCATTATAAGTGGTCCTAAAAGTCTCTCCTTGCGAACTTCTTAGATTTCCAAAAAGGGCAAAGAATAAACAAACTGCATATATCATATTATAACTGAAAATCTCGTAGTTTGGAAAATACTTATGGCAATTGCCTGTCATAGTTCGCCCCAAGACCAACATTTTATGAAATAAATTACTAGTTATCCTACCTACAAACTTGCCACTCTATTTTCTTACCAAAAAGTATTAAATTAGGGTTAACTTATTGATTAAGAGGTCTATCTGCCTATTTGAAGGGATGCCATTATAGAGGATACTGTAAAGGAACCTATCCATCCATGTTATACAGAGGTTCCTATCCATGTTATACAGAGGAAAAAATACAAAAACTCCAATGCAGCCAGATTGTTTACTGGGATTCAAACCCAAGTTGAATTACCAGCATTCAGCAACTTTAGAACTTGGCAGCTGTAATAAAAGAGGGATTTAGAACACAATGATTGTAGTACTCACTACATATATTCAAGCATAGAACAGTTATGTAAGAACTGGAAATTTCATCTATCTCATTAATGTGAGTGCCAGCATTTATTTAATTTTTAGTTTAAAAGATAAAGATGATCCAAATACTAATAACCTTGAATTATTAAAAATAAACATAAATTTTCTTCTTGCAACATATTTATTTTATGCCAATACAAAATTAAATGAATTTTAACTAATTGTATTTTAAAAATGTAAGTACAATGATTGTAACATATACTAAAAACATTACTTTGGAATGAGGATAAGAGTATGATAGTCTGCAGAAGATTCTAATTAATAAAAGTGTCCCCATTTAAAAATAGTTTGAGAAATGCTACTCTAAATACTTGCATTTTTGCAATGACATGCTTGAGCAACTACAGTCAAATACCGAAAATCCGCCGACCTGAAATTCGCCAACGCCTGAAATCCGCACTGCCTCTCAGAATATAAACATTCAGTTTATAGGTTCCGGAAACCGCAACATTGAGTACGAAACATCGAAGAAAAAAATACTTACTGAATAATGACGTCATAATTACCGAATAATAATGAGTCAAAATGGAAATACCAAATTATTGATATAAAAAAGTTTAAAAAAATAAGATAAAATAAGTTCTTTTCCCTCTAATCTGCATCGAGGTAAAAAAGCAGATGATTCACTCAACTCTTTGTTAAGTTCACGATTCACATTGTTGTATTTTCTGAGCTTTGTTAGTTCATTTCACGAGATTGCCTTTTTTTATCCGAATATTTTGTGGATAAATTAAGAATATTTTTAATTTCAGCCCTTTTTAATACAATGGCACATAAGAAATGCATTCGTGATTTTACTGCTTGCAACGTTGCAAAATGAAAACACGCTGCATTGACGATAATGCAAAAAGTGCAAATTCTGCAAAAGATGGAAGCAGGTGCTACTCCTCGATTTATAGCAGAATGGTATGGAATTGCGCCCCGATTGTGTATGATATATGGAAAAATAAAGAAAAGCTGTTGAAATTTTACAGCAACAGTGATTCTAACACCGGAATCCGAAACCAGAAATCTTTGCATGAGGCGAAATTGGCAAACCTTGATGCTGTGTACATATAATACAATTAATAATATAATCAATTTATATATGTAATAATAATTAATTTAATGCATATAATAAATTATTGCAATAATGTATATAATAATTTAATTAAATGTATCTAATACGCCTTATTCATTTTGCACTTTTAGTCCGAATATTATGCTTTATCTTTTCTGTCCTGAAATCCGCAAAATCCTAAAATCCGCACAACGTCTGGTTCCAAGCTTTGCAGATTTCTGGAATTCTACTGTATAACTTTAAAGCAATGCAAAAGAAACCATAATCAGACATACCTCTAAAAATTTAACTTTATCTTGAGATGAACATGTTCCAATTACATAACAGCCAACATTCTTAGCCCACTGAACCTGAAATATTAATAGGAAGTAAAATCTTAGTATCTGGTCCTTACATATTAATACAAAGATATTGAATTTTCATAATAGACTGAACTCTGATAACCATGCTAAAATAAATTTTTAGCCCAGGGTTTCTTAAAACGTTTTTCAGTCGCGACCCCCAGGACCCCATAATATTTACAAAAATTTTGTTGAGACCCCATAAGCATTGCGCAAATCTGACACACGCGTGAGTGAAACTGTTAATTTTTTTCACTTGTACTCTAATATACTATTGCAGTTTTAGGTGTAACTTTAATTTTAAAACATAGAACAATGTGAAAATTTTAAATAAGTAACAAATGAAATGACAGCGTCATGTGCAAAGCAAAGAAAATGAATGTTTATACGAGGGTTGGAACTTTAATAGTGGCAACACAGCTGAAAAAACGCTACGCAACAAAACCAAAGAATATCGCGTATACCACACGTAAACTACATACCTACCTTACCTCAGCAAAAAGACTCGTCCTGCCTACGTCATGCACATGCGGAGTAACGCGAAGAACGGATCCTTGTATTAGCTCGCGGTCTAAAGTAAGTGTTGTCAGGATGTTTTCAAAACAAGAACAACGACGTTGGATAAAAATTGAATGTGCCAGAGGTCATACAGCACGACAGTGTCATCAAGGGCTTGAAGAGGCTTGCGGGAAATCTGCATTGCCTTAGAGAACCGTAGCAAGATGGGTGAAAGCATTCAATGAAGGACGACAAAACGTGGCGGACATGCTGCGGCCAGGTCGTCCGAGTGTCAGCGATGCAGACGTGCAAGCTGTTGCTGCACTAATGGACAGGGATCGCCGCCAAACGATTCGTCAGCTGGCCGGACAAACAGGATTAGCGCATACGACTGTGCTGCACATTCTGAAGGAACACCTGTCCATGAGAAAAATTGCTTCACGATGGGTTCCACATCAATTGACGGAAATGCAGAAATGGCTATGATACGATGCTGCCCGAACGCATCTGGAGCGCTATGAGCACGAAGGAGATGCTTTTTTACGCCGTATCATTACACTGGATGAGACTTGGGCCCGATCGTACCAGCCAGAACTGAAACGTCAATCAAACGAATGGCGTCATCATGGGTCACCACGACGTTCGAAATTTCGTCAGAACCCCAGCAATGTGAAAGTTATGGTGATTCTCATGTACGACTGTGATGGTGTCATCCTAACGCATACCGTTCCCCCACAGCAGACCGTCACATTGCGGTATTACTGCTCATTTTTGAAGCACAATCTCCGACCAGCTTTGAGAAAAAAACGGCGACACTTTCTGCAGAACGCTCCTCTCATTTTGCATGACAATGCTCGGCCGCATGCAGCGCAAGCTGTGACTGATTTGTTCAAGCGATGGGGCTGGGAAGTGCTTTACCATCCACCATACTACCCAGATCTAAGCCCTTTTGACTATGACTTAATTCCTAAGATGAAGGAACCACTTCGTGGCACTCGCTTCCAAACTGTTCCTGAGGTTCTTGCGGCAGTAGACCGGTCCATTCAAACTATCAACAAAACAGGCGCTGCTACAGGTATTCTGCGACTTATACATCGTTGGAAACGGGTTGTACACAATGCTGGTGACTATATTGAAGGACTGTAAAACATGGTGACGTGAATCCCTTTTGTATTCCTTGTAAATAAATAGTTGCCACTATTAAAGTTCCAACCCTCGTATTATACTGCTGAAATAAATTAAGAGAATTTGCATATTTTATCGAATTGCATGAAAAGAACTAAACTGAAGGAAAAACCACTGCTACTAGATAAAAATGCAAATCTTGTACGGCAAATAGGTAAGTGTACACGTGTGTGCAGGCAGAGCCAGCAGAAAAACATACTTTATAAGTGCGTGGAGGGTAAGACGAATTGCGTTCGCTAGCACACCTCGGCGAATTTCTTGGTGTTATCTTGCAGCAATTGGTTAAATTCATATCGGAACAAAGAAAATGAGTAACCACCAACATTTAGATGATGGAATGAGGTGGCAAATTATGGAGAGGTTAGAGGCAGGTCCAGTTATGCAGAGAGTTTAATTTAATGCCCATCGTCGTGTGTAACATGTAGGGTTTATATTTATTTTAACTAACATTTATTTTAAGTTTAAACTATCTTTCCTGTCAAGCCTTACTTTCCCCTGGAACTGCCAATGCCAGAATATGTAAATTTTAGTAGAACGCGCAAGGATTCAAATTATCAGCGGAAGTATTATGATTTAAATAGAAAGCAAACGAGTTCGGTGTGTGATATTCTTACTTCACGAGCGTGGAGGTAGTTTAGCGAGAAATTGAAGAACCAAACCCCGCGTTTCGGCCTATGTGCTTGGCGGGAAGAAGTGTTAATCGTTCAAGTGAGCTTCAGTTCAAGTCTGCTGAATTAGCAGCGGTATTGTAAAACGCGGTGAGTTAGTTATTTTTAGAGAGCCTCGTAGTTAGAGTCTTGTCTTTAGTTTCTTTTCAGGTTATTATTTTTATTTGACCGCCGAGTTGGCGCAGTCTGTGAGCGTCAAGAGCACGCAATTGTAATTTTTACGTTGAATAAAAAGGGACTTAAACCCTTCACAAGACTCTGTATTTTATCCAGTTTTCACAGTCACCTCTTGGTTGCGTGCAAGTTGGAGGCGCGCAACGTTACAAACATATGGAAACATATGGTTCCAGGATACTGGATCTATCGAGAGAAAGCATGGGCAAGGTTGTCTAAGAGCCATGACGGTAAGAGAAGATCGCTATTTGTCCATTTTAGCGAGGCGTAATAGAGGGGCTACAGCTTCTCAGCTCTCTCAGGACCTGCATGCAGCTACAGGAACCCATGTAACAAGGGTGACTGTTTTTAAAAGACAGAATGAGACAGGGTTGTTTGCATCCCGCTCACATCGACGGATAGGAGAGTCTGATCAGTATGGTGCGGGCAGCAATGGGCGATCGTTCTGTTCACTGACAAGTCCCATTTTGGCCTAAACACTGATTCTCACTGTACTTTCATATGGAGAGAACCAGGGACCCGCTATATATCCTCAAATGTTCGCGAAATCAACAATTATGGAGGTGGCAGTGTAATGGTCTGGGCAGGCATCATATTGGATGGCCGCACACCTCTCCACATCTTTGACAGAGGCTCTGTGACTGGTGTGAGGTATAGAGATGACGTCTTGGAGCACAATGTTCACCTTTTCTGGGATACAGTGGGCACCGAGTTCATCTTACAGGACGATAACGCGAGGCCAGATAGAGATCTTCTGGTCGACGAATTTCTCGAGAGTGAGGATATTCACCAGATGGATTGGACAGCCAGGTCTCCAGTCCTCAACCCTATACAGCATGTCAATTGTCCCTATAGAGACGCTCTGGGGAGGGCAACTGCAACTCGCAACCCCCACCGAGAACCATCTAGTAACTGAAAACAGCATTGCTGAATGAGTGGGACCAATTGTCACAGGCACTGATAAACTGCCTTATTTCCAATATGACATCACGCTGCGAGGCCTGTATGGCTGTAAGATGGGACCATACCCCCTATTAACCCATTTCTTTTGTGTCTTCTGCAAACGCTGTTTCAGACCTTCAGACTCCCATGAGTGTTACACGAACATGTGTGTTTATTATAAATGTTGAATGTTTATTTTGTTTGTATTGTATCAACCTATGTTTACACCAAATTTTATTAAAATCTGTCCAGTAGTTCTGAAGATGGTACATCAAATATGAAAATTCTCTTAATTAATTTCACCAGTGTATAAAAAGAATACGTCGAAACGTTTTCGTTTTTCCCTTTGACTGTATTGTCTTATCTTTATCTATTTTCAGATACACTTAAGAGAATTATTGCAAAAATATTTGGTAATAGTAAATTGGTATTGTAATTGTATTATAATAAACAATATAAAAGCTGTTAAAATTTTTGGCGACTCCCTGCTGCAGGTCCAGTGACCCCCAGTTTAAGAAAACCTGCTTTAGACATGCAACAATTATTAATTTATACATGCAACAATTTTTCAGATTTATTAAGCAGTGTTGCCACTTTTATATGGTCTCTATTTGCTGCATTCCAAACTCTTACAATTTTTATAGATGAATTTTTTTTTTCGTCAGGGAATAATTTAATTTTAAAATACCTGTTTGCAAAATTTGTATGCAGTGGAAGAAATTACAATAAAGTCTCCCAGAATACAGTATTTTGAGACCAAAAACACTTAAGAGAATTATTGCTATGAATATCTTCTTAACATGTTGATTGCAGCGCACATTTGACGTGGTTTGTCCATGACGCCAACTTGAAGTTTTTATGATGCGATGTATATTATGTTGAAATATTATCTATAGAAAATAATGTGAGTTATATAATCATGCTTAATGCAATTTTCGTTATGGGAGTTACCGGTGACCCCCAAGGCACTGCAGGCCATTATTGCGATTTATAATTAAAATTTTTACAATTTATTATTTTTCAAACCATTATAATAACAATGGTATTCAAAATCGTAAAAAACAACCTTATATTTAGCGTAGGTATAATGAAACACTATTGAGTGTTTCATTATATTATTGAGTGTTTCATTAGCGTAGGTATAATGAAACACTATTGAGTGTGGTATAATGAAACACTATTGAGTGTGGTATAATGAAACACTATTGAGTGTAATATTGAGTGTTTCATTATACCTACGCTAAATATAAGGTTGTTTTTTACGATTTTGATTGTCACATTAGCGTGTTTCTCTTCTAGTCTAACAATGGTATTATTTAAAAATTTAATCAGTATCCTTATTTACTCTAATTATGCATTTTTACTATTAGTTGTGTCGTCGGTGGCACCCACAGCACTTTAGCCAAGTCGAGTGCTGGTCACCAGTGACCCCCCACAGCAGTCAATGTGTTAAAGTGCATAAAATTTCCACAGAAACAAAAGAACAAAAACCCAGTGATAAATAGGTTTATTGACTGATTTTTCAGGTTAAATACCTAATTTAAATGCAAAACATGTAAGTAATTATATGTATAATAAATATAAAATGTATGTAAAATAAAATTATAAATTTAACATTTAATAGCCCCTCAAGTCTCTTATTTAATTTAATTATTTCCTCTTTCTACCCTGAAAATAGTAAAATGCTTCAAATTTCTCTAAACTGTGTCATTTCAAACTTAATCTTGGTCACAAAAATTGATTATTATGTATTACTAATGATACAGGTACTTATGTAATGGTTTGGCCAATGTTACAATTGGTAAACTGACACTTAAATTAGCAACAGGAATGCAGTTAAACCAAAACTGAATCCTTCAACCACACATTCAGATATAATCTGCACGTTTCTTCTCGTCTTCTCTACCCTGGCAACTATCTATCACTACTCTACTTGCTTAAAATATTCATTACAGAACAGAAACATGTCTTGCACTGATTTAACTGTATGTGTCTATGTAAGAAATGTTTAGTCAACAATAAAACAAGTAATCAACGAGCCATGATTTCTGCTACATCTTTATGCACCAAGCTCCATAATTACATATCCATGCCATAAAAAGTATTTCATGCTATGTATGTATGTAAGAATTTTTTAAGCAAATATAAGTTATTATTCTTTTCTTCAGCAAAAATTGAAGATGCAATCAGATTGCACTAATATACATGTATCTATTCACATATAAAAAAAATGCATAAAGTTCAATTACTCATATTTGACAAAAAACTTGAGATATTTAATTTAATAAGTACAGAGGTAAATCTCAAACTCTTTTTCCCAAAGGAAAACAATATTAAATAAGAACTTCATATGGTACTTGCATGCTGAGTGCAAGTTATAAATGGCCAGACAATATTTTTGCACTCAGAATTAACAATATTGGCAACAAATCAAAAATCAAAGCTTAACAATCCTATCAAAATATAAATAAAATTATTTAAATTCATTAAATTTTATTAAAATCATAGAAAAGTATTATTTTATATAAAAAACCTTTTTTAATTTTTAGGCATGGAAATTTAGAATTAATTGATGGACAGGCTATAAATTTTTGTTACTTTGTACTCAGCTAACATGCAAGTATTCTACTTTTTATTCTAACAAATTAATACCTGAGTGAAGTTATTTTTTTTCAAGATTTTCTCATAATATACAAAAGTCTATTAAAATAAATAAAAATTAACTTATTACAGCAATATGACCTGTGCCTCCTGCAGCAGCAGTGATTAGAACTTTCTCCCCAGGTACAATGTGCCCACACTAAAAAATAAGCATGAACGAAGTTATTTCTTTATCAAACACTTTGGTACTTTTCTGTCATGTGTCTGCCATGCATTTTGGCACTTGTGAATGAGAAGTGAAACATTAATTTCTTTAAGTGTAAATGATTTCTACTCTTAAGAAAATTTTATAAACGGCAACAGATTTAATCCTAGTTACAGTTGTCGAGTCTCGGCATGTATTTGGCTTCCTTTCACATTTTCAAAAAAATGCATGGCAGTCGCTTAACAGAAAAATATCAACACTTTATATATAAATCTCCAATTTAATATATATTATTATGGGGAAAAAACTGTTTCTTTATAAAAAAATGAAAAAGAAATTAATTGCTTTTATGTGCTTTCTTTAAATACTTGCAATTTTAAAATTATATCTCTTCCCTTATTTTAGTCTCAGTTTCTCTTTTAATAACTTTAAAATCAGCACAAACTCAGGACTTAAATTGTGCAGAATTTTGCTCTTCTACAGTACTTTATATTAAGCAAAAAGAATTAAAAAAGGTATAAAAAAACTGGTGAAAAAAAGAAAGTAACAGAATCAGTTCATTATAATATCAGTTATAGGACATTTACTTAATTCTCAATTTAACTATACTTTCAAATTGTAGCTTAAATAAGATATACTCTATTGAAACAATTTAGGTTTATACCCTTAATATTTATTTGCTTAGCTTAATATTTATTTGTTTACTTTATTAAACATTTCTTTCAATGTAAGTTGTTTAAGTTGCTTCGTTTTATGTGATAATACTTTCTCTTTAATTCTATAAACAGACGTAATTTCTTCAGTTACAAAGTTCTGCTGTTCAAGTCCTATAATTGCTGTGTCGAGAATACCGACTAATTTGTCAATCGAAACTTTTTCATTTTCAATAACTTCTGTGTCAATTTCGTCACTATCGGAAGCGAATTATAATGACAAGGAATTTGATTTAAATCATATCAAAGACGGAATACATCGAGATGAAATACTATATTTAGTAAGGAATTATAAGCCAAATAAAATAAAAACATCTACCCTGAAGATAAGGATAGTGCTGACAGATCAACTTCCAATTCATTGCGCGCCGCAACGTTAAAGATAAACAAAGGATATGGCTTTATCCATTTTTTGCAGCAATTCCACTTTTTGTTTAATGGACTTCGAAACATACTTTCGCTTTGTAGATCCTTTACATATTAGTAAATATATATCAAAAATTATATTTGACATAATCGAAAGTTCAAGCTTACTTTTATAAAATTGCTCTAACAGTATGCAAAAAATGATAAGCCGAATCCAATTCGAAGATTAAGGAACAACGCAATCTGCAACATTAACTGAATTAGATAATTTTAGCTTAGCTTATACCGTCCGTTATACATTAAAAGCGCATTCGTAAACGTATTTTGCACATGCACATTCGCAGCCGTAAAGGTCTTATGCATCAATTCGACGCATGCGCAGAAAGTTTGTAGCTTTGAGGTCCAGATTATGGGTGTCCGAATTAACGACTTTTGACTGTATTATTGCACACAGAGATTCAAGTAGAATCTGTTTTGGAAGACAAAAAAGAATAATTTTGGATTCTGTTTCTAATTATATTCAATTTATTTTACCAGCTATATATGAAACGTATGAGATAATCCAAGGTTTGCATTAAGTTTTTGTATTTTTATTCACATTATTTACTTTAAAAAAATGTTTGACACATGAAATGTGAAATTTACTTTGATTTATATGCAAAGTATTACTGATTTATCTAAAAAAACTTACTTTATCAAGACTTAAGCTAGCAGTAGCACCACTTGTGAGCAAAGGAAGAAGTTCTGGTTTAGCAGATGCAACTGAAATAACTTCTTCTTCTGGAGCACACTATAAAATAGTTAAGTTTTTTAAAAATATTATTAACAAATCTGAATACATGGAAGATCTTTGTATACATTTAATTTCGTAAAATAACTTAACATTACAGGACACAAACAAAAAATGCTTTTTATATAATAGAGAAACAACAAGAACATTAATATCTGTTACATTTGCTAAGAAACATTACTGTTGCTACTGACTTGGATATAACTATACAAATAAAAATTACCGCTCATGAAATATTAATGCTAATTTCTATTACATTTCAAATTTATCTTTTACATTAAAAAAATAAACAATGTAACACAATGATATCTAATAACATAAATGAATTCTCATTATCATGAATGTGTGTGTGTGTATTTAATTATGGCAAAGCACACTAGGGCTATCTGCCTAAGGGGAGGGATGCCTTCGTGGAGGTCTTTCTAAGGGAAACTTGCTCGTATACACGTTACACATGGGGAAAACCACGAAAACACCCATGCAACCAGCCCGTCCGCGGGATTCAAACCTCGGACCGAACTACCAGTGTTCAGCGACTTTACCGCTCGGCCGCTGGTGGGCCCCCATTATCATGAATGACAAGCATATTCTCATGATGTGATGAGGAAAGATTTTCCCAACAGTTTAACTTTTCACTTTTCTAAACAGAATTATCATAGTAAATAAACTAAGCTTACATCACTTAGCAATCTCATGTAGTTGGATTTCTGTGTGAAATACGGCATTTAGAAGATTTTGGTGGCACAGAATAACAGTAATTTACAAAAATAATGAAAATTTTAAAGGAAAAAAATTCAAAAATTAACTCTTGATGAAACTTTTATTATCATTGCATGGTGCTATGTAAAGTGAATTGTAAATTTTTAATGTGTTTATCTGATAATAATAAGTTGAGATTGTGTGAAAGGAAGGATATTACAAGTTTAAATGGCGGTGCAAGAAATATGGTGAAAATGGACATTTTGTGAAAAGGAGTGTAATGAAGGGTACGTGGTTTGCTGAAAGTAGTTTGAGTATAGGTGAAATTTTATTAATTTCTTATTACTTGGTGAATAGACTTCCAGTTGACTACTGGATTTAGGATTTAGAAATTAGCAGTAATACTGCAGCGACATAATGAAGATTCTGAAGAAGATTAGGTAAGTTAGTATTTTTAATCATTTAAGGATATTATTTTTATGCATTGCTCTAAATGTAAGGAGTAAATAAATTAAAATGGTATTATTTGAAAATTGTTATAATCAATGATTTAGTTTAAAGTAATTAGGATTGTAATCTAATTTTTTTATTAATTTAATGTATGTGCTTATTTATATTTGAACTAATTTTTTTTAATTTAATTATATTTTAATTTAATGATCGTGATTTTGTGAGTTATATGTTTGTAGTATTTTTGGAATATGTTTGAGTAATATACGTTGAGTATTTTCATGCTTTTCGTGAAATTTTTCTAATTTTATGAAAAAAAGCAGTGTACATGGATATAGTGAAGAGTGTGCGCAATGCCATTTTTGTGCAATTCTGGGATGTTTTTTTAAGTAAAAATAAGTCGACGTGTACATGGTTTAGTGATATTTTAATTAAATGACAGTTATTTTGTGAATTTTATGTTTGTAGGAATTTGGTATACGTTTTGTTGAAGTAAACGTGCATGGAAATAATTTAAATATTTGACACTAAGTATTTGTAATGTTTGTGGTATGAATTCGTTGGTGACGTTTATAATGTACTAGATAATTTAGAGGTAAAAGTTTTTAGATATTTTATTTATTTTATACGTGGAAATGTTCATATTTGGAAAGGGCATATACTTTTTCGCAATAAGGTAATTTCATATATGTTCTTTTTATCGGGTTTAAAGATTCAGAAAATTGTCTTGCATTTTCGTGAAATTTTTCTAATTTATGAGAAAAAAAGCAGTGTACATGGATATAGTGAAGAGTGTGTGCAATGCCATTTTTGTGCAATTCTGGGATGTTTTTTTAAGTAAAAATAAGTCGACGTGCACATGGTTACTGTGTATGTGGGATTTTGAAAAACGCGGCAAGGAGTTTGCGATTTTGCACTTTTTCCCAATTTTGCAGTTAATATTTGTCATGATTAAGCAGTTTTGTTCCATAAAATTTCTAGCATAAGTGTAATTCGGCTAGGAGATTGTTGGAAAAAGTGTTGAGTAAATAAAAAGAAAAGAAATATGTCTTTACTTCGTGAAGACAAAAAGGTGGCCTATGTATGGCCACCAGATACATTTCAATAAGGATTTGTTGCAAAGATTTCAAGATTTTAATTATTTGAATTCGAAGTTTACATTATTTTCATTATCATTAAAATTAAATGTGAATAATGTACTAGGAAACTTATGAATTGAGCTAATTAATTTATAATGTGGTATAAATCTTATTTCAAGATTTGAAGACACAGATCTGAGTAACTTTTATTCATACTTATAAAAAAATGAGTACTCTCAGTTAAAAAATTTTGCACTAAGAATAAGGTACTGTTAGGTTATCGAGACAGGATTCGTAAATGTATGCATGTGTGCACGTGTGTGTGCACATATGTATACACATACATACATACATACATACATATAAATTAAAATAGAAATTGGAAAGCTAATAAGTAAAGTGTGATAAGACCTATTTGGTCTTAAAAATTTTGTGCAAAATGCTGCAAAAATATGAAATAATAGGAAGAAATATTGTAGAGAGCTCACTAAAAAGTTACCAGGAGCTGTGGCTCCAAGAAATAGTTCAACGCAGTATTTTTTAAAAAATAATAACATGGAAGTAATTTTTAAAAAAATATTAACATGGAAAGGTGAAAAAACAGCCTACACGCGATATTAAAATACGGAACAAAAAACTGTTAAAATCAATGTTGGAAACACGTGAATGCACAAAAAAAGAGCAAAACCTATTGATGTGATATGTGTAAAGTTAATACTTCTAAAAAAACTGATCGACGGAACAAGTTACAACAAAATTAAAGCATAATAATAAAACACAAATTGCAAAAAAACAAAAAATTATAAAAATTACAAAGCGGAAAATGGTAAATTAACCCAATTGGACCTCCAACCAGGCTTTTCAAGGGAAAATTAGTTGAATGTCGAATCAAGCCAACACCATTACGCGTTTTGCCGAAACAGACAATTGAAGCTCAGTAAGAAATTTAGAACTAATTTTTCACAAAGACCAAAAATTAATTCTAAATTTCTTACTTTATGTCTTTAATGATAATTTTTTTGCAGCTTAATGCATGAAAATACTAGACATGTTTAAATTTTGTTTTCAAAAGAATTGTTTGTAGTTATATATATATATAAATTTATTAAAGTAATATTGAGTACATTGTCTCCTAATAGTATTTTTAAAATTAAATTTTAATCACGAAAAATAGAAATGGAAACTTTTAAAATGAAAATTAATAAACTATGTAATTATCATCATTGATCAGAAACTGGCCAATTTTTCAAGGGGAATAAGCAAACCCCCGTTCAATTAACAATAATTAATAAATGCAAAGGTGTTTTGTCTTTTACTCTAGTAATAAATATAATGCCAAACTGGCAATATGAGTTTAAGCCAAACTTGCGAGTTGAGTTTTAATCCAAATTAGCGAGATCAACCCTCTGGGGTCTCATCTCGCGATTTCCACAGGCAACTCAAATGTAGCAAAATCTGCCCATCCCGCGCGCATGTGTTTTTCTTCCTTAGTAGCACATCCCGTTTTTTCCCCGTTTAACCACTGAAATAAATTATATACAGTATTAGACATTTAGTTTACGTTTTGGCAAACAGATATTGTTAGTTGTCCGCTAAATTGTGGCATTTGAAGGCATGTGGCATTACCGCTCAAAGTCCAATTCTTGCATTTTTCTTACAGAAATGGCTGCTGGAAAACATTCAGCGATTATCTTGAATCTTTAATTAAATTATTTAATTAATTATATTTATTCATAAACATAATAAATAATACAATCTTTGCAAAATTAATAGAATAGAAGTTGAAAATTGAAAGATATTTATAAAATAAGGTACAAGAAAATGTACATAATTTACATAAAATGCCAGAATAGGAATTAATTAACTTACGTTCTTTCTAGTGGGAGGATGATAAAGTGTACAGGTAAAGTATGGTACATACATGGTAAAGTATGGTACATACTCAGAAGGAGTTTGGTATGCAATCCACGATGTAGAGAGCGGCAGTGGAGACCCTTTGAATTATTAGAGGTGATAGCCTTTGAGAAGGTGTTTTTGGAATGTGGGAGGGAAGCGGTCCTAAAAACTCTACGAATTCTTTACCTTTAATGCATTGATACATATTGCCTGTATGTTGTGTTCAGGGTGGATTAAAATATTTAAAAAGCCTGATCATTATGCATTGATTTTATATAAAATAACAAATTACTGATTTTGACCAAATTTCCATTATATCTGAGTTGCTCATGCAAATATTTACTTTATTTTTATTTTAGGAAAAATATAATGATATATAATTAATTCTGAAAATACCCTTACCATATATTCTGAAAAAGCACCATAACTCATATGCATCACAGATTCACCAATTTTTAGTTCTGCAACCTTTTCACCAACATCAACAATTTCTCCAATGCTCTAGAAAAACAGCATTAAAAAATAACAAGAACTTCATATTATATAAACTGAATATATGCCTGCTATGCAACTTATAAGATTTTATTTGAAAAATTTTAATATGAATTCTGATCTTACTTCAAATCCTAATCCAAATGGAAGGCTTTGATTCTGGGAACAATAACGCCCAGCAGCCATATTAACATCTGAAGCATTGATTCCAACATATCTAAAAGAAGAATAAAAGGCTGAAGACTAAATAATCAAACAAGGATTTATGAACTTCATAACATGACTTAATACATAAATACAGCGTTTCATTAGCTAATCTTTGGAATATGGTAACAGGTAGTTTGGTGACAATTTGGTAAGGCGATAAAGGTTACTAGCTAGGACTTTAGCAGTGTACATGGATATAGTCAAGGGTGTGCGCAATGCCATTTTTGTGCAATTCTCTGATTATTTTTTTAAGTCAAAATAGGTCGAAAATTTGTACATGGATGATACCGTGTATGTGCAATTCGTAAAAACGCGGCAAGCAGTGGACGATTCTGCACTTTGTCCCAATTTCGCACCTAATCATCGTCATGATTAAGCACTTTTATTCCATAAAAGTTCTAGCATAAGCGTAATTCGGATAGCAGATTGTTGGAAAAAAAATGTTGAGTAAAAAAAAAAAAAAAAAAAAAAACAAAATAGCCTTTACTTCGTGAAAACAAAATGGCGTTCAAACAAAAACTAGCAGGTTGCTGTAGCAGGGTTTGTCGCCAAATTACCATAATCCAAAGATTAATTTGTTTCATTTTTTTTTTTTTTTTTATTGAAAAAAAAAATCATTGCTAAATATTACACTCCACTTCTTCATAGTAGATTAAAATCTCTGTAATTTGACAGCTTCAGAAAAATCTCTGCATAAAACCGATTTAAAGAGTAAGAATTTATTTAGAATTATCACTGTACCGGGTGGTTTAATTACTTTCGGTTTAATCCTAGTATCCGGTGCACACGGAATTTGGCGACTTTTATGATGAGCAGTAAAAAACGGGACATATACAATGAGTATTAAAAGGGTATTCAAAGAATATATATAGTTATACATAGAATATACTATGTATATATTGATAGTATACTATCACTATATATACACAGACGTTCTTTTGGTAATTTTTGGTGTTGGCGATAATTTTCAAAATCGCGCCAAGGCTGCACCGTACACTTACTTTCTTATTACATGGAAATATAGCATAGATAACAGACAAACTATTAGGTGCCGAAACAAATAGTATAGTTCGCACAACTATAAAAATTTGTCCTTTTTTAAGTCGTCGAACTATAATTCTGTATTTCATTAAGTTTCTTAGTTTCATTAGTTTTAATATTTTTATATTGCATGCTTTTTAAGAAAATAATACATTCCTCATACTAACTTATTTTTTATTAAGATCTCGTTATTGCGAGGGCGAATAAGATCTTGTTGAACAATTTCAACAGCTTCTTTAAAAACTGGAGTCAGTTTTTTCACGACAAGCTTCCGAAATGATGCAGGTATAGACGCACTCATTTCAGAAATAACAGCTACAGAATGTCGCAACATCGAAATTAATGATGAAATAAATATAAGATTCAAATTATGAAAGCATACCGACAGACAGACAAAGTAGACAGATGTCTTGTTTTGCACCCGCTAAGTCTTTCTGCACCGATGGGTGAAAAATTAAGCATAGGTGCGAAGGAAAGGTATATAGAAAGGGGGGCAATTTCGTATTTGAGGAGAGTAAAAAGGAACTTCGTACATTTTTTACGAGTTCAAAAGGCCAGAAAGAAAAGATGGGACAAAATAAAATTTAAAATAAATGGCTCAAAAATAATAGAGGGGGAAAAAAAAAAGGGCCTATAGAAAGAAAAGGAAAAGAAGTAGAAAATATCCTAAAATACGATTGTGTCCATGAGTGTAGTTAAGGAGTTCATCTGCAAAGAGTTCTGCAAAAATTAGTGTCTTTAAGAAGCAAACTTTAGCTAAGTTTAATAAAAAAAAATAAATGAATGAATTCCTACATGGTAATATATATGCCCTTATCTTGAGACCTAACTAGAAAAGACATATATCATCACAGAGATGTACATAATATTTTAACTAAAGTAACATTAACGCCGTTCCCAAAAAATTCATGTGTATTTCAGAAAAACAGTAATTGACAAAATCATAAATCCATACACAGTGTGAGAGCATATCAACAAAAATAAATTATACAGTTTATTTTTCTTAAATATTAGTTAAATATAAAATTAATTTACTAATTTAACCGTTGTAATTTATTATAGTACAAGTTTATAAATTCCGTCACTCTGTATTTATATTTGGGTGTCTAGTCTGGACACCGGTCGAGATCGATATCGGTAAACCTAAGGCTCCTCTATAGGAGCCTTAGGTAAACCAGTCGGGATTCTCTTTCCACTCGACAGCAGAAGGGAGAGAGAGTGTGGCCCCTTCAAATTCCGTCGGCGGAAAGTGAAGTGGAATTCCGTGCGGAAGTGACATTTATTGCATAGCAACCAGTCTATCTCCCTCTTCATTGGTCCAGGCTCAGGGGAAGCGGGTAGTTTGTTGTCAAAATGGCTGTTTCGCACGTGCGTATCACTGAGGATGGCGATAGCAAAAAGAAAATTACCAACCGAGTTCGAGTAAATGGCGAAATTTTTCGAAAAATACACAGCTGTTAAGCGATCAACTTAGATAGCACATTAGAGTAAATGAGCACCGAAAAACGAAATGGGAAATGTTAATGAATATTTTAAACGCAGAAAAGAAATGCCATTTCTAAGACTGCAGATATGTGAAGAAACGTAAACATAATTTCACGTATGATCTTATTGCAAAATGGAATTTTTTTAAAAGGTTATATGTTTGAAAACTATTTGTTTAATAGGAATTTTATGATTAAAATACATTAATTTGTCTGAAAAGATTATGCAACGACGTCATAAGTCAAATCATTGAAATATAGCACCGCGCACGCGTGTTTAATATTCCTAATGAATTTGAATCAAAAAACATTTTAATTTTTAACAACCCATGACTATATCAATAATTTTATTTATTCAGGAATTATACCTATCACGTAGCTACAAATATACTATGTATCGTAGATACCAATAAGGATTGAGTAAAAATATAACAAACTTTTAACAAAAGTAATAGGAAGAAAAATAAAAAAATTAAATAACTATAGGTTAAATCATAAAGCTACAAATATACTATGTATCGTAGATACCAATAAGCAGTGAATAAAAATATAACAAACTTTTAACAAAAGTAATGGGAAGAAAAATATAAAAAAATAAATAACTATAGGTTAAATCATAAAACATATTATCTTGCACACACACACACACACACACACACACACATATATATATATATTAACATATGCAGTGAAAGGAAATTCCAATACATATTCCTATTTATACCCTTTTTAACTCGATCCCACCAGTGACCGTGTGGTAAAATCGCTGAACACTGGTAGTTCGGTCCGAGGTCCAAATACTGCGAAACGGGTTTGTTGCATTACCAACATATCTCTGATAACCAATATATCTGTCATTACCAACATTTTTCTCGTAATTTCCAAAAGCATAAAAATTAAGGCATACAAAAACCTGTTTTAAATAAATAACTATATGTATATATAAATGTATTATAAATATATTAATATATGTAGTGAAAGGAAATTGCAGTACATATTCCTATTTATGCCCTTTTTAAGTCGATCCCACTAGTGGCAGAGCGGTAAAATCTCCAACACACTGTAGTGCGGTCCGAGGTTTCGAATCCGCGAACGAGCTGGACGCATGCGCGGTCATTACAATGTATCTGTCATTACCGCTGTATCATTGGTAACTTCCAGAAGCATCGAAATTTAAGGCACAGAAAATTTGTTTTTAAAATATATATATATATATATATAACTGTATAAATATATTAACAGATGCAGTGAAAGAAATTGCAGTACATATATATTTATACCCTTTTTAAATCGATTCCACCAACAGCCGGTAAAATCGCTGAACACTAGAAGTTCGGTCCAAGGTTGGAATCCCGCGAACGGGCTGGTTAGTATTTGGGCATTCCCTGTTCCGAGAACTTAAGCTCACTACAGGTCCACTCTCCCTTTGGGCACGTCGTGGAGGTTCAACCTCCACTATTACCCTCCAGGAGAGCAGCGCACCACCTGGAGACTGGCCCCAGGCAGCACCGGTCGTCTAATGCTCCTACCAGTCGCTTGGGCGAGCCCGTCGCAGCGGGACATTACCAGCGACCCGAGGTTACCCCCCCGGGTTACCAGTACCACGCCGCGCTAGGACGTGCCAGACTCCGGGGCCGGCCAGTAAGTGACCTTTCCCAGAGCCTTCAGAACCACCAAGTTCATAAATTTTATACCCCCGTGGCCGAGACTGCCTAGGTACAGATCCTAGCCAGTAGCTTCGCAGAATTTTCTACGTTGACCCCTAGGGGGAACGGGCTGGTTGCATGGACGTTTTCGTGGTTTTTCCCATGTGTTACGTGTATACGAGCTAGTTTTCCTTAGAATGTCATCCACGAAGGCAACCCTCACTTTAGGCAGATAGCCCTCGAGGCTTTGCCGTAATTACATAAAACCAAAACTGAGGACTTTTTTATCTGAATAAATATACACAAAACTGATGTAATATCTAAAAATAGACCTCATTAAAAAATCTGATAACTAATTATAAATCTTGCATTATAATATTGACAAGAATTTAACAGAAAATTATACAGGAAATTCTAGAAGGTATTGGAAATTGATATTGATATCGGTACAGTTAAAACTACTTAAATAAATTTTTTAACTCGAAGCAATTTAATGTAAATGTTGAATTTAGGATGTGCATAGTTTGAATTATATACTGCATATTCTTTAATGCATGTCTAATGTATTACATTTTTATACACTACAAATTCAAATAAAAGTAGAGGGAAATGCATTATAATTTAAAACATAAAATTTCAAAATTTATAAATTACTGATCAAAACATGAAATTAAGTACATTGATATATACATTAGTTTAAAAATTACAATTTTAAATTAAAAGTTGCACCCCTTCTTTATATGAGAAATAGGAAAACACCAAATATATTATTTTAACTAAAATTTAATGAAGGCATTGGTGATGTAGAATAAATAAATAATGTAGAATCGTGACCATCAAATGCGTTATTTCTATAGCGAAATACTCGAGTTTTTCACAAATCTTAAGAAATTAAAATATCTATTACGTACACATTCAAAAACAATCCGTGACCTCCGCCGTCCGTAGTTTAGCTCTAAAACGACAGTCAGAAACTTAAACGGCAGCTGTCCAGCTGACGGAAAAATTTCCGACGCGTCGATCTCTGTAATGATCGAGACGATGACACCAGACTCGCTCTCTGTCGAGTAGATCGTAAAAGCGACCCGTTCTTCTATCTCGACGGTGTCCAGACTAGGGCCCTTGATCATAATTCCAAGTTTGATACCTGAAAAAAAAAGGTCGGGGATCTTAGTTACAAAAATCACAATCTATACTCATCGATGGTCAAGAGATCCCTATTTTTTCCCTCTCAAGAAATTCCTAAGCACGAAGAGGGGGGCCTCCGAAGGGTGTGAATTCCTGATAAGAACGGACTACTGATAAGGAATGTGGCGTCTCTACGGAATAGTTACGAAGAAACACATGACTTGCTAAAATTACTAACTTATGTATAATGCTAAAATCTATGAAAAATAATAAATAAGAAATTTAATTGCACCTCTAGTGATAGAGAAACATATATTGTATAAAGAACAAAATGTTACTTATCTGAATATTCCGTGTCAGGACCTCTTTTGGATTTCTCGTGTTGATAGTAAACAGCTAACAAAACACCTGAAGTTTCGAAGAAGCGAAGTTTCCTTTTTTAATTTGATGAATGAGACATTGCATAGGAAAAGTGCATTAAACTTTTTTAGAGTTGAAAATATTTACTGAAACAGTTGTTTAAAAAATTTCGGAGCTATGTTTAGACACTGCCTCCAGCTTACGTGATCGCAGCCCATAATCTTCTTTCACAAACAGACAGACAAAGTAGACAGATGTCTTTCTGCACCGATGGGCGAAAAATCAAGCATAGGTGTGAAGGAAAGGTATATAGAAAGGGGACAATTTCGTATTTCAGAGGAGAATAAAAAGGAACTTCGTATATTTTATACGAGTTCGAAAGGCCAGGAAGAAAAGATGGGACAAAATAAAGTAAAAAAAAATGGCCCAAAACTAATGAAGAGGAAAAAAAAAAAATTGATTTATAATTAAAAAAAGGGCCTATAGAAAGGAAGTAAGAGAATTTTGTTAAAAAACTTAATAATAAAATAATAAATATTGTAGTCAAACAGTGTTTAGAAGCTAACTTTTGTATAACAGGGAAACTATTACAAAATAAGTAAAAAAAGCCCAGGTAATGGAAAAAAATTGTTTTTTAAAAAAGCTATAGAAAGAAAAGGAAAGATGGGAAATTAATAATAAAATAATAAATATTGGGGTCCAGTCACATAACAGTCAAGTTTAGAAGCTAACTTTTGCTATAACAGGGAAACTAAAAT